TGGCAGTTTTAGTTATGTAAGGGTAATGATTGTGGTTATAATTAAATGGATGCACAGCAACTACTTGGAGTGCCGCCTTTCAAAAACCAACATATAATAACATAAGTGTTTTATTCCTTATTTTTGTTATAACAAGTGTGTTTTCTCAATTATGGTGTGTAATAAGTTTCACGTTTTTACTTTTTGGTAAATGTTTATTTTCTTTGGCATCTTCTTTATAAACTTTTTTTTCTATTTGAAAATTTGTAAAAGAGTTGAAAGACCGCAAATATTATATATATATATTCTTTGCTAATAAAAAATTATTGTGATTATAATGAGTTATGCATGTTTTAATATGAAGTTTAAATATGGGTTAAGTTTAAAATATATATGTTTTTATTAGATTTGATTGAGATGTTATTTTAATTAACTTAAATCGGAAATAATCAATTCAACATCAATTATGTTAATTTAAAGTTGGTTTAGAACTTAAGTTTTGTTTAGACTTAACATGTAAACTTGTATAAGTTTATGAGTTTGCTCACTTGTCATTGTTCGAACTAGATTTAACCAAAGTAAAAATATTTATAATAGATTTGTTGATTCGAATTTGAATAATTTGTTGATGAGTTGTATGTTTTGTCTGCGAACTTGAGTGGTTTGAATTTCTGGTTGTAAGGATTATATTGAGATATATAAACTCAAAATGTCATAATATTAAATTATGTTGTAAATTTAGCATATTTGGTAAGAGTTGTGTAGTAAATGGATTTGGTTTATTATAAGATGAACTAAAATTGTATGTTGATTTGAGAAAGTTATGTGAATTAGAATGTTTTGGAATGAGAGATCTTGATTGTTGCAATTGGTCAGTTTGGGTATCATTTATGAAACAATTAAAATGAATTTAAATTGAGAAAAATGCAAGATATACCAAAATGTGAAATAGAACAAACCAAAATCTCACATTCAAAAACATATGGTATGACATTGAGCAAAGATATGGGTTGTTGTTGAACATTGGATTTAAAATCTTAAAATCAATGGTAGTTTTTGTGACAGGACACTAAGCAATAGTTTTTTGTCGTTAAGTGCTCAAGTTTGAGAACTCAATAACTTTGACACTAAATTTTAATTTTCACCACTAAGAGTCATATTGCTTTTGTGGTTTTTCACGTTATCTTTCTTTGAGATTATGTTATTATGTGGCGAGTATTGATGTTATTACACTCAAACATGGTATGAATGAGTGTGTTGTAAAACATTCTCAAGGACGTAATCTCGTTAATTGTGTGATTTCTTTAATGTATGGATTAATATATAGATTTAAAGAAAAATTTAGCATTATAATTACAATTATTACAATAATCATTGTTGTTTGATAATACTATTTATTTGTTTTCATTTTTTTAATTTTTTTTAGAGACTTTTGATCGTCATTGTTTTCTAAAAACTTTTAATGACGACGATATCAATTACATCTCATAATCGAGGTAAAACATAATTTTAATCATAGTAAAAAGAATTTTCAATTCCAAATCATACTCTTACTAACAACTACAACTACCTAAATAAAAAAGTGAATGAGAGAATACTAAAATTAATCATATATGATTGAAATTAAAATTATTCACGTAGCTAGCTGTCATGTACAAAAAATTATATTAATCTAAAAGTATTTGATATGTCATTTATTAAATTAAAATATATGTATTTTAAAATATACTAAAATATAAATCATGACTCTATTACTATCTCATTATTATTGTTTGTTTTTAATAATATTTGATCAAATTTATATTGATCATTCCTTTTATTTACTTATATATAGAGATAAGGGTCAAATATATTTTTTTATCTAAATATTAATTCAATTTGGTCTACCCACTAAATCCCCGTCAAACTACGTTTCTAACAATGTTAAAATGGCAATATCATATATATATATATATATATATATATATATAATAAAACAAAATTCCTATCATTAAACGTCCGAGGACCAAACTGGTCTAAAGCCACGTGTATTTCATATATTTATTGGTAGACGAGTATGCCATATGAATTTTATTGATTTTCAGGGTTAAACTCTATTTTTTTTCATATAAACTAAATAATTTTCATTGTTTTGTTAATTGAGCTAAAACTTTATTAATAGTCTTAATAACTTGTGTTTGCGTGATAAGTACTTGATGGAAGGAAATTTTCAATTACAATAAGATCAAGGTTAAAACTAATTCAGAATTTCTTGTCTGTATTGATAAAAAATTATACCGTTACTTAGATATGATAAAATTAGTCTATCAATTTTTTTTCCAAATATAAATTATAAATTATGTTTCTTTAATAACATATATTAAAAATATTTAATTATATAAATACTTTTTTATATTTTTAATTAATTAATCAATGATTTAATACAATAGTAAAGATTATTTTATTGAAAATTAATGGATTAAATATGTTTTGATCCCTTAATTTTTAATGAAAATTGAAATTAGTTTTTATTCCAAACTTTGATCCAATTTTGTCTCTCGTATGGATTTAATTTTTTTTAACTAAATTTTATCAAGTTTATTTAACGTTTTAGAAACATCTCATAATAGAATTTGAGTGGTTACACTGCTTGCACATTTTTGTTTATTTATTGTTAATTGAGAAATGAATTTGAAATATCAAGTATATTTAACAAAATTCGTTAAAATGACTAAATTCACACATTTATAAATATGAGATTAAATTAGTCCAAAATTTCAAAAGGAACCTAATTCTAATTAAATTAGAAGACAAAAAACACATATTTAACTGAAATTTAATTTAAAAGAATAAATTATTTAAAAAATTAAATATATTTTTATGATCATAATTTTATTTATCTCATAAACTTTAAATCAATATTATTTATAAACTTATATTAATAAATAATGGGTTTGTTAACTTACGTAACCTCTTAAAGTATACCAAAATTTAGTTGACAAAAATAATTTCATGTGGATTCTAAGTGTTAAGGTTAAATTTTTTTTTTTTATTTTTTTATTTTAAATGAAAAATAAAAATTATTAAAATATCTCCGTGATTGAAGTATGTTTATCTTTTTTTAATATATGAGGGTATTTTTGTCAACTAAATTTTAATATATTTTAAAAGGTTACGGTAAGTTAACAAATCCCAAAGTTAAAAATTTAGTAAAAGGACATGTTGACAAAGCAGTTGTCTCCTTCTCTCCTTTTCCTTCATTTTTCTTCCATAACTTCTTCCCCAATGCAATTTACTAAACCGTGGTTAGTGGTTGACATACAAGTCAAAACCAATTTTGCTAATCCTAACTTAGGTACCTAATGTCACGAGACAGCCAATTTTTTTTCACAGGAAGCAACTACTTATGAAAAACACATTGATGGCTACATTCACTTTGAATTCAAAACATGGTCAAAATTATCACAAAGTCATATTAAATACCCGCAATTGTTTTGTATTCTTATTCTTAGGATTCCAACCTTAACCAATCAAAATTCTATTGGAAAATCTGTTGTCACCTTTAGAGACGGCGGTTTTGACTCTCCATCTCATCCCGATTTCTTCAAACCATTCAATAAATTTTTCAGACAATATAGTTTTTGGTTTCTCTCTTTTCTTCAATAAGATCTATTCCGAATCTGCATAAAAGGTTAGGTCATCATTTTTCGAATATTGTGGACATCAAATACCTACGTAAATCCAGATACCTTTCTTCTACATTTTAGTACAAATAGTTTTAAAATGAAAACATTGATTATGAAGAGAGACTGTGTTATAACTATTGGTTTGTATTTAGAAATTATATGTTTGAAAAATAAGTTTCAAGGCATGATAAAGTAAATTTTCTTTACCAATTCGACCCACGAGTTGTTTTTGAATAACTTTTATATAAGAAGTTATATTTTTTTTCATTTATAAAATATATATTAAAATTGAATTAAATTTAAAAATTTCTATAAGTTGAAAATCCTACCTAAGACTAATTTATATTATATAAATGAATACAAATCTCAGCTTATAAACCAGTTTTGTGGGATTGAGTTAGATTTAAAGTTAATGAATATTTAATTGTATAAAGTTATAAAATAATTTATTTTTTACTTTTGCAATATTTTTTCAATATTTCACATTAGGTTCTTTAAAAATTATTTTTAATTCAAATTTAATAAATAGGAATTTTTTTCTCTCAAAAATATTTAAAAATAAGTTTATTTTTAATCATATCCATTCCAAAAACTGATGAAAATTATTTCCTACCTTTGATGTAACCATGTTGAAAATACTTACATATAATGTTGAAGGTACAATAATCCAAGTTTCATATAGAAATGGTGATTTGGTAGGTTGGACTATATTTTTTTTATACCTTACTGAAGGACACATTCGGAAGTGACACATTTTCAGTTCATTTTTTTCTTCATAATGCATCGTTGATTGCGCAGTCACTTCAAGTTTTCAAAGTAAAACTAACGATGTTTATGTTGACAAATTGATTTTTATGCCAAATTATTGAATGTCACCATAAAAGTGTAAGAAATAAATGTTACATTTTCAATAAATAAAAAAACATTTTTAAACCATTACTCATAATTAAGAAAAACAGAAGTTACATCATACTTGCGTATAATGTTTAGAAACACAGTCAGAGTATAAACTTATTGATGAAAAACCAACAAAATAAAACCATGTTATAGTATACTACCAGAGACAAAGCTCACCTTTTAAGCTAACTTTACAGAATTAAATAAAACTTAAATTTCACTTAATAAACTCATCAAAGTTCTACTCATTATTTGATAATATTTATAAATCTATAAATAAGTCGTGTCAAAGTTAAATAACTATATAATCAATAGTGTTGAGATCAACATGTATACATAGAAAATCAGAAGTGGCTAGTATAAGCTTCTGAATCATTTTGTAATTTGAAGTTAACTGTAGATCAAATGACTTGCATCCAAAGACAGAATAAGTCTAACATACTAAGCTAAAATATTATCTGCAAGATATTCATCTAATAGTGTTGATTCATGCAAAATTCTTACAAGGAATACATATACACACAGAATCATATAATGACTGAAGTATTGATGAGCCTAGAGGGCCCTTGATTCCTCATCAGTCACAAAACTTAGATGCACAACAGGACTCGTGGCTCGCATAAAATGACCAAAAATTTCAATTTACAAAGGCAATGTGCCTTGTGCTCACAAGGAGGAAAATTTGTTCCAAACTAGGAACCATGTGGCATCCTTCTCACCTTGTTAGAGCCATCTTCATCTGTGACAGCCCTGTGAGTAGAGTTTTCTTTTTGAAGCAGGGAAACTGCAGTACCCTATATTTTAAGGTTATTAGCAAATTTATGCTTCTACAACAGCAGCAGCATCAGAAGCAGTTTCATCAGTAGAATCAAGAGATACCATTTCTTCCATAACGTCTTCGATCATCACCTGTTCCTCGGGGTCAACTTCCGGCGCCGTATTAAGAATCTTCTCCCTGAGCTTTGTTGCTAATTCTTGTACACTGTCGCTGTCCACCAGAAACCTCTTTAGAGCATCCTTGCCATGGAAATTCTGGCCATTGTATTCATAAAAGGAACCACTCTTCCTTATGAGTTTGTATTTTATGCTCAACTCTATAACCTCTGCTTCTCTACTTATACCCTTGCCAAACTCAAGCTCAAACTGTGCCGTTTTAAATGGAGGGGCATGCTTGTTCTTCACAACCTTGACAAGAACCTGGCTTCCCAGAGTCTGCATAAGAAATGCCATTAAGAATATCATAAAAATTAGACCCTAATGTATTGTTCAAATCAATATTAAGACCTGCCGTTATGAACAAGCAGAGACCACATACAAAAGATTAAGTGTGAGAAAAAAAGAGTCAGCCGTAGATAGCTAGTGAAGAGCACTGGTTTAAGGGTCAACATCAGAACAATCTTGCAATGCATCCAACAAAATTTTATGTACACAATCTTGCTAGGTTTCTGACAAAGATCCGTATATCTATTTTTTATTTAGAGTACTTGTATAAAGGTACAAATTACAATACATTGGAAAGAGAAGTGAAAATTTCACATATTTATTCATGCTTATTTGAAACCATCCTAGTTGAGAAGGCGGTAGCAGTAATGTAGTGTGCATGGAAAAGAAGAATTTGAAGATGATTTGTACCTCTTCACCCTTCTTGACAAACCCAATTCTTTTGATATTTAGCCGCACAGAAGCATAGAACTTCAGTGCATTACCACCACATGTAACTTCAGTGGGACCACCAAATCCTCCAAAAGTAGAAATCTTAGACCTCACCTGGAGAAGCATACACAAGAATTCCCATAACTAAAAGGTAAACCTTTCTCTCAAGTAATTTCAACAGAATTACTTATATTTAAAAGAATAGACACACATTTTTATACAATATATGTATATGTGTGTGTGTGTGTGTGTATAAACAGTAAAATCTAGTAACATGCAAGTCAAGAACATTCCCTGGGATCAAACAACAACCTCAATCCAGCACAATCAATATCACAAATTCACAAAATTGGTTAAATGGCAAATAGAAACTGGCACACCAATACTTCAGCCCAAATAAATCATTATCACATTCAATTAATTTATATAATCAAGAAAACAAAAGTCCACTAACACCTTTCATCTTATTTTAGAGTTTACTGGGCCTGATATATACACCAGGAAAAGCTAATACCATAACATCCATAACATATTCGAAAAAGATATAATCAGTTGAATTTGAATAAGTGGATATTCCAGGACATCATATGCATGCTGTACATTTTTCACCACAGCTTATGTCGATTATATTATAGCTTACGTTTTTTACCTCTAAAGTCTACAAATAAAACCAGGCACTAAATCTTGTACTCACGCAGCTTTAACTGGGTAAAAACGAAAGAGGAAGAAAATGTAGCTAGGCAAAAACAGTAAATATGAAAGAACAAAGATAGATAGGGAACAAACGTTAATTTCAATACAACATAACAATCATGTAAAGGTTATAAAACATGATAACTACAACAGCAAACTCGTAGTAATGACCTAAAAGCACATTGACTGTAAGACTAACCAATCCCAACCTCAACCACAAATTAGAAAGCAAAGCCCTTTGGCTCAGAAGGTTCACAAAACATAGTCAAAGACAAAGATGGAATGTGTACACATCGGACTATCCCGACTAACACTCTATAAATAAATATCCAAAATTTAACCATAGGAAATTTGATACCGATGCAATACAACTGTAACTGATACCTGGTTTATAAAAATCAATATACACTGGGAAAGAGACAAAGAGTGGCACAATTTCCGAAGAGCCTGACTCATCAACCTAGCCTGCATTGCCATGTGAGCATCACCCATCTCACCATCAAGTTCACCTTTAGGCACAAGAGCAGCCACCTATAAATGGAAACATGGCAAAAAGTTGTGGACATTAACTCAACTTATAAGAACATCAACCCAGTGAAACAAGATATTAAGTTAAAAAGAAAAACAAAAGGCTTGAATATGTTTTTAGTCCATTTAAAATTAACATTTTGATATTGGTTTTAGTCCCTGCAAAATATTTTTATTTGATTTTCATCCCTCCAAAACTTTAAATCACTGTTTTCTTAGAGCTAACGCAAGATATTACAAGTTACAGCCCTGGTATATGTCACTTGGAATAATCATTTAACCTGTTGTTCAACACGTAAGTAATTAATATCATATAATATTAGGAATCAAAAGTGATCATTTCAATTTTGGAAGGACACAGAACATATTCCTCAGGGACCAACCTCGTTGGTCCTCCAGGGACTAAAAACAAAGTTAAGCCCAATAAACATGGCAACAAAATTTAACATCAAAGTTAGACCGAGTCTATATTAGAAAATATGTTAATTTCAGAACAGTATCCACATTACATATTTCAGGCTCAAAACTTGCAATCAACACATTATTTTCTGCACAATATAGGAAGAAATAACGATCTCCAAGTGCAAAACTAACTAAGGTTATTTCATAATACATATATATGAAAACACGTGTGTAGGAAGCAATGCAGATGGAAATGAGAAGAATTAAGTAAAGTAATCCCAATAACTTCTGCCCTCGCTCACACACATTTTGTGTGTCCAGGAGTAAGCATTTAATAGGGTGCACTGATGCTTTCACAATTCACCCCGTGGATATGTACACAATCAATGATCACACTTACAGAGTAAGTACTAATAAAACCAAAACATGAAGGGGTGCAACACTTACACTGTCAACAACAATTACATCAACCGAACCACTCCGGATTAAGGTATCCACAAGGCCAAGTGCTTGTTCACCACAATCAGGTTGTGAAAGAAGCAAGTTCTTAGTATTTACACCAATTGAATCTGCAAGTGTCTTATCAAGTGCATGCTCAGCATCAACAAATGCACAGTAGCCTGCATGATAATAACAAATTAATTAAAGAGATAATATCAAAAAGTAATCAGTACCAAAAAATATACAGTCTTCTGGTTATCATTAAACTTATGGGAACATAAATCCAGATTTAACATAGTNAATTCTAATTAAATTAGAAGACAAAAAACACATATTTAACTGAAATTTAATTTAAAAGAATAAATTATTTAAAAAATTAAATATATTTTTATGATCATAATTTTATTTATCTCATAAACTTTAAATCAATATTATTTATAAACTTATATTAATAAATAATGGGTTTGTTAACTTACGTAACCTCTTAAAGTATACCAAAATTTAGTTGACAAAAATAATTTCATGTGGATTCTAAGTGTTAAGGTTAAATTTTTTTTTTTTATTTTTTTATTTTAAATGAAAAATAAAAATTATTAAAATATCTCCGTGATTGAAGTATGTTTATCTTTTTTTAATATATGAGGGTATTTTTGTCAACTAAATTTTAATATATTTTAAAAGGTTACGGTAAGTTAACAAATCCCAAAGTTAAAAATTTAGTAAAAGGACATGTTGACAAAGCAGTTGTCTCCTTCTCTCCTTTTCCTTCATTTTTCTTCCATAACTTCTTCCCCAATGCAATTTACTAAACCGTGGTTAGTGGTTGACATACAAGTCAAAACCAATTTTGCTAATCCTAACTTAGGTACCTAATGTCACGAGACAGCCAATTTTTTTTCACAGGAAGCAACTACTTATGAAATACACATTGATGGCTACATTCACTTTGAATTCAAAACATGGTCAAAATTATCACAAAGTCATATTAAATACCCGCAATTGTTTTGTATTCTTATTCTTAGGATTCCAACCTTAACCAATCAAAATTCTATTGGAAAATCTGTTGTCACCTTTAGAGACGGCGGTTTTGACTCTCCTTCTCATCCCGATTTCTTCAAACCATTCAATAAATTTTTTAGACAATATAGTTTTTGGTTTCTCTCTTTTCTTCAATAAGATCTATTCCGAATCTGCATAAAAGGTTAGGTCATCATTTTTCGAATATTGTGGACATCAAATACCTACGTAAATCCAGATACCTTTCTTCTACATTTTAGTACAAATAGTTTTAAAATGAAAACATTGATTATGAAGAGAGACTGTGTTATAACTATTGGTTTGTATTTAGAAATTATATGTTTGAAAAATAAGTTTCAAGGCATGATAAAGTAAATTTTCTTTACCAATTCGACCCACGAGTTGTTTTTGAATAACTTTTATATAAGAAGTTATATTTTTTTTCATTTATAAAATATATATTAAAATTGAATTAAATTTAAAAATTTCTATAAGTTGAAAATCCTACCTAAGACTAATTTATATTATATAAATGAATACAAATCTCAGCTTATAAACCAGTTTTGTGGGATTGAGTTAGATTTAAAGTTAATGAATATTTAATTGTATAAAGTTATAAAATAATTTATTTTTTACTTTTGCAATATTTTTTCAATATTTCACATTAGGTTCTTTAAAAATTATTTTTAATTCAAATTTAATAAATAGGAATTTTTTTCTCTCAAAAATATTTAAAAATAAGTTTATTTTTAATCATATCCATTCCAAAAACTGATGAAAATTATTTCCTACCTTTGATGTAACCATGTTGAAAATACTTACATATAATGTTGAAGGTACAATAATCCAAGTTTCATATAGAAATGGTGATTTGGTAGGTTGGACTATATTTTTTTTATACCTTACTGAAGGACACATTCGGAAGTGACACATTTTCAGTTCATTTTTTTCTTTATAATGCATCGTTGATTGCGCAGTCACTTCAAGTTTTCAAAGTAAAACTAACGATGTTTATGTTGACAAATTGATTTTTATGCCAAATTATTGAATGTCACCATAAAAGTGTAAGAAATAAATGTTACATTTTCAATAAATATAAAAACATTTTTAAACCATTACTCATAATTAAGAAAAACAGAAGTTACATCATACTTGCGTATAATGTTTAGAAACACAGTCAGAGTATAAACTTATTGATGAAAAACCAACAAAATAAAACCATGTTATAGTATACTACCAGAGACAAAGCTCACCTTTTAAGCTAACTTTACAGAATTAAATAAAACTTAAATTTCACTTAATAAACTCATCAAAGTTCTACTCATTATTTGATAATATTTATAAATCTATAAATAAGTCGTGTCAAAGTTAAATAACTATATAATCAATAGTGTTGAGATCAACATGTATACATAGAAAATCAGAAGTGGCTAGTATAAGCTTCTGAATCATTTTGTAATTTGAAGTTAACTGTAGATCAAATGACTTGCATCCAAAGACAGAATAAGTTTAACATACTAAGCTAAAATATTATCTGCAAGATATTCATCTAATAGTGTTGATTCATGCAAAATTCTTACAAGGAATACATATACACACAGAATCATATAATGACTGAAGTATTGATGAGCCTAGAGGGCCCTTGATTCCTCATCAGTCACAAAACTTAGATGCACAACAGGACTCGTGGCTCGCATAAAATGACCAAAAATTTCAATTTACAAAGGCAATGTGCCTTGTGCTCACAAGGAGGAAAATTTGTTCCAAACTAGGAACCATGTGGCATCCTTCTCACCTTGTTAGAGCCATCTTCATCTGTGACAGCCCTGTGAGTAGAGTTTTCTTTTTGAAGCAGGGAAACTGCAGTACCCTATATTTTAAGGTTATTAGCAAATTTATGCTTCTACAACAGCAGCAGCATCAGAAGCAGTTTCATCAGTAGAATCAAGAGATACCATTTCTTCCATAACGTCTTCGATCATCACCTGTTCCTCGGGGTCAACTTCCGGCGCCGTATTAAGAATCTTCTCCCTGAGCTTTGTTGCTAATTCTTGTACACTGTCGCTGTCCACCAGAAACCTCTTTAGAGCATCCTTGCCATGGAAATTCTGGCCATTGTATTCATAAAAGGAACCACTCTTCCTTATGAGTTTGTATTTTATGCTCAACTCTATAACCTCTGCTTCTCTACTTATACCCTTGCCAAACTCAAGCTCAAACTGTGCCGTTTTAAATGGAGGGGCATGCTTGTTCTTCACAACCTTGACAAGAACCTGGCTTCCCAGAGTCTGCATAAGAAATGCCATTAAGAATATCATAAAAATTAGACCCTAATGTATTGTTCAAATCAATATTAAGACCTGCCGTTATGAACAAGCAGAGACCACATACAAAAGATTAAGTGTGAGAAAAAAAGAGTCAGCCGTAGATAGCTAGTGAAGAGCACTGGTTTAAGGGTCAACATCAGAACAATCTTGCAATGCATCCAACAAAATTTTATGTACACAATCTTGCTAGGTTTCTTACAAAGATCCGTATATCTATTTTTTATTTAGAGTACTTGTATAAAGGTACAAATTACAATACATTGGAAAGAGAAGTGAAAATTTCACATATTTATTCATGCTTATTTGAAACCATCCTAGTTGAGAAGGCGGTAGCAGTAATGTAGTGTGCATGGAAAAGAAGAATTTGAAGATGATTTGTACCTCTTCACCCTTCTTGACAAACCCAATTCTTTTGATATTTAGCCGCACAGAAGCATAGAACTTCAGTGCATTACCACCACATGTAACTTCAGTGGGACCACCAAATCCTCCAAAAGTAGAAATCTTAGACCTCACCTGGAGAAGCATACACAAGAATTCCCATAACTAAAAGGTAAACCTTTCTCTCAAGTAATTTCAACAGAATTACTTATATTTAAAAGAATAGACACACATTTTTATACAATATATGTATATGTGTGTGTGTGTGTGTGTATAAACAATAAAATCTAGTAACATGCAAGTCAAGAACATTCCCTGGGATCAAACAACAACCTCAATCCAGCACAATCAATATCACAAATTCACAAAATTGGTTAAATGGCAAATAGAAACTGGCACACCAATACTTCAGCCCAAATAAATCATTATCACATTCAATTAATTTATATAATCAAGAAAACAAAAGTCCACTAACACCTTTCATCTTATTTTAGAGTTTACTGGGCCTGATATATACACCAGGAAAAGCTAATACCATAACATCCATAACATATTCGAAAAAGATATAATCAGTTGAATTTGAATAAGTGGATATTCCAGGACATCATATGCATGCTGTACATTTTTCACCACAGCTTATGTCGATTATATTATAGCTTACGTTTTTTACCTCTAAAGTCTACAAATAAAACCAGGCACTAAATCTTGTACTCACGCAGCTTTAACTGGGTAAAAACGAAAGAGGAAGAAAATGTAGCTAGGCAAAAACAGTAAATATGAAAGAACAAAGATAGATAGGGAACAAACGTTAATTTCAATACAACATAACAATCATGTAAAGGTTATAAAACATGATAACTACAACAGCAAACTCGTAGTAATGACCTAAAAGCACATTGACTGTAAGACTAACCAATCCCAACCTCAACCACAAATTAGAAAGCAAAGCCCTTTGGCTCAGAAGGTTCACAAAACATAGTCAAAGACAAAGATGGAATGTGTACACATCGGACTATCCCGACTAACACTCTATAAATAAATATCCAAAATTTAACCATAGGAAATTTGATACCGATGCAATACAACTGTAACTGATACCTGGTTTATAAAAATCAATATACACTGGGAAAGAGACAAAGAGTGGCACAATTTCCGAAGAGCCTGACTCATCAACCTAGCCTGCATTGCCATGTGATCATCACCCATCTCACCATCAAGTTCACCTTTAGGCACAAGAGCAGCCACCTATAAATGGAAACATGGCAAAAAGTTGTTGACATTAACTCAACTTATAAGAACATCAACCCAGTGAAACAAGATATTAAGTTAAAAAGAAAAACAAAAGGCTTGAATATGTTTTTAGTCCATTTAAAATTAACATTTTGATATTGGTTTTAGTCCCTGCAAAATATTTTTATTTGATTTTCATCCCTCCAAAACTTTAAATCACTGTTTTCTTAGAGCTAACGCAAGATATTACAAGTTACAGCCCTGGTATATGTCACTTGGAATAATCATTTAACCTGTTGTTCAACACGTAAGTAATTAATATCATATAATATTAGGAATCAAAAGTGATCATTTCAATTTTGGAAGGACACAGAACATATTCCTCAGGGACCAACCTCGTTGGTCCTCCAGGGACTAAAAACAAAGTTAAGCCCAATAAACATGGCAACAAAATTTAACATCAAAGTTAGACCGAGTCTATATTAGAAAATATGTTAATTTCAGAACAGTATCCACATTTCATATTTCAGGCTCAAAACTTGCAATCAACACATTATTTTCTGCACAATATAGGAAGAAATAACGATCTCCAAGTGCAAAACTAACTAAGGTTATTTCATAATACATATATATGAAAACACGTGTGTAGGAAGCAATGCAGATGGAAATGAGAAGAATTAAGTAAAGTAATCCCAATAACTTCTGCCCTCGCTCACACACATTTTGTGTGTCCAGGAGTAAGCATTTAATAGGGTGCACTGATGCTTTCACAATTCACCCCGTGGATATGTACACAATCAATGATCACACTTACAGAGTAAGTACTAATAAAACCAAAACATGAAGGGGTGCAACACTTACACTGTCAACAACAATTACATCAACCGAACCACTCCGGATTAAGGTATCCACAAGGCCAAGTGCTTGTTCACCACAATCAGGTTGTGAAAGAAGCAAGTTCTTAGTATTTACACCAATTGAATCTGCAAGTGTCTTATCAAGTGCATGCTCAGCATCAACAAATGCACAGTAGCCTGCATGATAATAACAAATTAATTAAAGAGATAATATCAAAAAGTAATCAGTACCAAAAAATATACAGTCTTCTGGTTATCATTAAACTTATGGGAACATAAATCCAGATTTAACATAGTTTCTCCCAAACAAAAGATAACTTCTCTGCTCAATTTAACTTACACAAACAACCTCTTCTTTCAATACACCCACTTATTCAACTGAATCTGGAAGCACAAACAAATTGTTGGTATAACCTCAATTTGGACTAAGATTTTCAACAGTTAAGCTTTATTGTTAAGACTTTTCAAAGGAAAGAGTGTCAGGCTCCCTTAAGTTTATAGATGCTTAGAAAGAAGTTACAGATGGAACTTCTAAATTGAGCTACCCAAGTTGAAACTTGTGCAAAAAGTTTGATTTATTTTGGCTCCTTCATTCACTTTAGCCTTTTGTCCGGCAAGTGCTTGTTTAGAAGTTCATCAAAAACTGGCTTATAGTATACAAGCATGTATTGATAAAATAAGAACCCTATCATGGATCAAAACACAATTTTCACTTTCAAATAATATCAGTTAGAAGAAGACTGCATTAGAACATGATTTAGACAATCATCAAAAAATCATAACAATTAAAACAAAATCATTAAAATCATATCAATAAAAACAAAAGGCAGCCACAAAAAAGACAAAATGATCACTACACTACTGTCATGGTCATATAAGACAAGTTGGATTGCAATTGTACATTTAATACAGCCAAAAGAAATTGACATTTTAACTGTCACTTTAAAAATAGCACATAAAGCTAACCTCCTAGCTTTTGTGCTTCTGCAATCACATGCAAAGCAAGAGTTGTTTTCCCAGAAGCCTCTGGACCAAATATTTCCACAACACGCCCCTACACACATCAGTTACATTAAATTATCATAAAGTAGCAGTTGCATAATGAAGCATAGAATTGTTTCACTCCTTGATGCTCTTCTAGATATATATATCCCAAATAAGTGGCTAACATATATTGAAACTAAAACGCTAGTAACATCTCATAACCCAAAACATATTTTGCAGTTGTAGAGTAACTAACAGAATTAACAAGATATAATAGCCATATAAATTGATATTTTCAAAGAACAGATAAAGATGTATAATTATAGTTGGCAAATAAACAAAGAATCGTGGAGAGAAATCTAAGAAATTGAACCCACGCCTCCGCACCAAAAAAGTTAAAAGGCCTTTTGTCATCAACAAAAGAACTCATTGAATGTATTAAAAGAGTTCAACATTAGTTCCAGTACAAAAAAAAAAACAAAAAGATACCTTTGGAAGACCTCCAACCCCAAGTGCTATATCAAGAGCAAATGAACCAGTAGACACCACAGGAATATTTTTAGGTGCCACAGAACGACCAAGCCACATGATAGATCCCTTTCCATATGCGGAAGTGATCTGATCAATAGCTTGCTGTAAGGCCACGTCTTTCTTAGACATGCTCTCTTCACCTGAATCACTTCCATCTGATTTAGACCTCCTTTTGCCTTCAAGTGCATAAGAAATTAAAAACGCAATCAACTTCTAATCAGCATCGAACTCAAAGAAGAACCCAAAAAATTAAAAAAAAGAAAAAGTAATCAAGCAAAATTTTACAGGAAGAAAAAGACAGCAACCCCTAAGCCATTATCTGAACTTGCTATGACTAAAAGGCACAAAACCCATGTAATAAAAACAAGTGAAATGCACCTTTATATTTGCTCCTGCTTGGTTCAGAGCAACAAATATCTAACTAAGTACGAGAGTCAACACAACAAAATGAACAGACATTGGTGACTCGAACAGAGATATTCCTTATGCCACAACGTTATATTAGACAATAAAACCAAAATAATACTTTAGCACTTACGAGTTGAAAAGCTCAAAACTTGAGACGTGCCCAATAGTCCTGGTTTGAAGCAAAAGCGCTGCAAGCAAAAGGGTAGCAAAAAAACACCATCATTCATTCATGCACCAAAAAACTTTTTTAAAACAAATATTCTTTAAAAAAAACATAATGCATCACCGTCAGAAGGTCGGAATGGAAGAAAGAACGTTTAAGAAGGGAAGAGTTAGCGGTGCGAAGCAGCCACGCCATGGAACAGAGGCCCTAGAAAGGAATAATGATTTGTTTTTGTTCACAAATGAGGTGTGCAGTGTCAGTGTCCGAAGTAAAATAGAATGTCTTCTTTCTCTTATTTTTCTCTTAATTTTATATTGGTGCAATGAATTTAGGGTTTGCTTTCCCTCCATTTTCAATTTCCATTGCCATTGCCATTGCCACTGCCAATTTCCTGGGAAACAATTATTTTTTGTTGTGTAAGGAAAGGTTTGTGTGTGTTACATCTTTCTTGGGCCAGGCCCATGAAGTTTAACTGATTTATCGAGTTCACAGAGAAAAAAAAAAGTATACGTTTTGTTGTGCCTATCATTCTGTTACTAAATTTTATGTGAAAAATAAGCTAAGGAGTAAAATTATGTTCCTTCATTTGCCTGCACGACTTTTAAATATTTAATAATTTATAATTGTTTTCAAATTATATCTCGAGCTCTACTTTATTTCTCAATCTTGTTCGATCTTAAATTTCTAATTATACTTTCGTGTATGGAGTTCAATATCAGTGTTTTCCCTTTTCTAATCGCATTGTTTTGTATTAAGCAGGGATTATACATCCAGATTCAAATGCTAGCCGATAAGAACTGCATCATATCTAAATATTAAAGCGACAAACCATTAAAAATGAACTAGAGCTTGGAAAGATACAACAATGACTTTAACAAGATCTTTTATTTAACTCAGAATTTCAACAATTCTCTGGTATTTACAACTCCAAATATCTAACTCATGCAAAAACAAATTGTTGCCAGTTTTACCTAGTTTTCATCAAGTATCATCCTCTGCTGCAGGGCATTTAAATCATTCTTTAACTGTGTCTGTTCGCCCATTCAATGGCAATATAATTAAGCAAATTTACTTTTTAAGTTCTGATAACATTTTGTCCGACTATTGTTCACTTCCTTCGTAAACCAAAATCATTTTTATTTTCATAAATTTTATTAGAGAAAAAGTTAAATTTCACGAGCCGTTACTTTTTATGCACATATGAGATTTGGGCTGCACTATAGCTTGCTATTAAGGGTATCAGTACTACTGCAGTGTGCACTTCAGCTAAATGTTGCAACTATGCCAATTTATTGGCGACGGTCTTTCTTGTATCTTCACTTCAGTTTCACACATGTCAAGTATGTAGTACACATTCTTGGTGACACAATAGCAACCACTCTTACACCATAGTAATGCCATAGCTACATTTAATGCTTTGAGGTTTCTAATACTTCAAGAATATTAAAAATCTGAGGACTAGATGCCAAATATATTGATATAGTCTGTTCATTATTTAATAAACGGAGCAACGTTGCTACGGTACAAGTGTCATCACGTCACTACTATATTTTGTAGATCCATTTTCTTGAGGATGAAAGATCTCTAAAAGAGTGTACAACTTCATTTTCTTAAGTACCGAAGTAAATATTGCCCCATTTAAGTCTTAAACATTTAAAATGGAGTGCTGCGATATTTTTTTGGAGAAATAGACATGAGTAAAAGAAATGTCCTTTCGACGCCACACCAATTCATATTAAAAACAAAATTGTGTATAAAAATTTAACAAAGATAAATAATAACCAAAGCACACGACCTATAAAATAATTCAGTATCTGAAATGACATACAAATTCCAAAATAACAAATCATAGTATACCTGACTATATATAATAACCACATTCTCTCCGAATGAATGGAAAAAAAGAAGGGACTAAATAAATTCAGACTATAGAATCTAGGGAGGAAAATGAATCAAGGACCACCCAAAACTGCACGAAACTGAAACCCATCAAGCACCATAGGACCTCAAAAATACCCATCAGCTGCATAACAAACATCAAAGAACTAAATTACTGCTGCTTGCACTCTGGAGGTCGCTCACCCTGCTGACCATCACCAATCTGTGCCCTTCCACTCTTCTGAAAATCAGGAATACAAATATAATGACCAGAGTAATGGGAAATAAAGAGAATGTTAACTACACAATAGCAAACAAACTTAAGACAGAAACCATTATGTGTCCATGAATAATTTCATTCAGACCACAATAAAAATATCTCACGTTAGTGGCAGATGACTGCAACATGCCAAAGGAAATTGGTAACAATGTAGGTAAAAAAAAAGGCATTAATTCAGCTTCAAACCTATCAAATAACAAACAAACCAAGGTTTCAATACTCCAAACAAATTAAACTATACCTTCTTTTTAGTCTTACTGTCTTCCTCCTCTTCCTCGTCGTCGTCATCATCTTCATCCTCATCCTCATCTTCATCCTCCTCATCATCATCTTCGTCCTCATCATCCTCCAGGTCTTCAAACTCATCTCCCTGAACAGCCTCCCCAGTAAACCAAGATACTGCATGAGGGATAATTTTGTCCCTTATAGTTGACCTAAACAGGAAACGAGATTAACTCAGATTCAAGAATACAGATACAAGGAGCGCCACGTTATGCTTAGACAGCATGAGATAACCGTGCAACTTGTTGGATAATAAAAAATATAAGGTTCGTACTAATGAAAAACATCAATCAAGCTTACCCAATGTCATAATCTTGTTCCATTTGGTTCTGAAGTTCCTCGGCCTGCAGAAAAAATGAAACTATTATAACAATACACAAGTTTCGTATTTAGTTTTAGCCTTGAGTTTATTGAGACAAAAATGTCATACCAAATCTTCATCAATGTCATCATCATCTTCTGGAACTTCTGGTGGTTTGAAAAAATTGAAGAAGCTTTCACAGTTTTCAGTTTTGGTAATTGGTTTAGCATTCTTTGAACCCTTCTTGGGCTTTTTCTTCAACACCTTCTGAGTCAAGCATTTTCCCGGGTACCATTCAATTTCCGTCCTATTAAAAAGGGTAGCAACCAAAACTTAATCTACATCAAGCCTAACCCTTTGAACAATATTGTAAACATTGTAAACACATTACATAACACCACCATGTAAAATGAACACCGTACCCAATTGCTTTCTCCAATATAGGCTCATCCTCATCAATCATATGATATGTTTTAGTCAAGACAGAGTTTGAAAAGTACGGATTGGTATCAAAAAAGAAATCAAGCTTGAATCCTTTAGGGTTATCTATCCGGCCCCACTTAATGTCTTTTAGAAACTTGAGAGCACCTTCATCACGCTCTGAAATCTACTTCACAAAAAAGCAGTAAAAGGATCACTTAAAAACATTGAGTCTAACTAAAAATGTAACTTCAATGCAAAACTAGGAAGATTCAGCAGGTAAGAAATTGACTAACCTCTTCAGCCAACACATCATTATTTTTCATTGCATTGAGCCAAAAAGAAGGTACTCCTTTCTCTACAAATCACAAGCAAATTGCTATCTCAGAATTGAAACAACAGAATAAGGAGACATTTTATAGTCTCTACTCACCATTATCCTCTTCTGATCCATCTGTTGTTTCAACTGCTTGTCCTTCCACTTCAGTAACACCATTTACTATTTCATAGCGCTGCATCCATTTATTAACAAGACCATTGACAAGAATATTACATCAAATCAAATTATCCAATACAAATCAGAATCAAGAATTTCAAAAAAAAAGTAAAAGATCATTAATAGAAACAAAAAATGTCTGCTTCAAATAGCATCAAGTCTGGTATCTACAAGAACCATGTTATGGAACACAAAAAGATAACTTAAACATCACATGCATGCCTCTACGTTACAGAATACTCAGGATACCTTTGTGTATAAGGGCTGATACAACTTTTGGTACTTAGCTTCAAGAGCTTCTCTCTCCTTGAAGAATTCTGCCTCTAGTTCGTCATGTTTACCCTGCATAATCAATAAACATATTCAGAAGCTGGCATTATGCAACAACACATTCACAATAGCTAATTTAAACCGAACAGATTAATAAAGGAGAAGCTCATTTCAAAAACAATCAGTGAAAAGGGTCTAACCATAGAGATAAAAACACTAATTCAAAATATTAAAAAAAAAATCAACAATTATTTTACCCCCATTACATAATATAACATAATAAATACAGATAGATGGGCTAAATTATAAAATATAAAAAAAAGAAGGTTAGATCATTGCAAAAAAGTTTTGCCCCAGTCAAAGCTAATTTCTGATTATGCAAAAGTTCAACAAAAATCAGAAACTCAACAAATCAATCCTCCCAATTAAAATTGAAACTTAAAAAAATATAAGCTATCCACAAAAAGCAGCATCGATACTGAAGAATCAACAAGAGAGGATATACCTGAATCTCTCTAAGAGATTCAACACGCTTCCTGACGTTAGGCGATAAAGTCTCCAGAACATCCGAATGCTGTCCAGCCAGACTCTGTATCTTACTCTGCACACAAGTTCAGTCCCGCAATAATCATATACCAATAGATTAATCCAAAACATTAGCAAACATCAAAAAACTTGTATTCTGGCTAAGCAAGCAGAAGAATCGTTATCCATAAAACTTTACAGAGAGCAAACAAATTCGATTTCAGGAACTGCAAAACAGTATAGCATACCTTGAGAGCACTGACTAGATCGGCGCGATTGTCTTCGTTGAGGGCTGCATAGGAAAACCAATCGAAGTCAGCAAATTAGAAGAGAAAAAGAAGATTGAGAAAGGAAAAGAAAGAAAGAGAAAGAAAATTGAGAGAGGAATGAGAAAGAACCAGAAGTGAGATCGGTCATGGTGATGTTTTCGTTGTTGTTGGACATTGAGAAGAAGGTTGAAGAGTAAAAGAGAACTAAAACCCTAGAAAGAGTGGAATGAAGCAGGGTTTGACGATGCCGTCTAGTCTTCTTCTCCCACTCTTTTTAAACACACTCTTACCCTCACACTGTTATTATTTACTACTATTATTTTATTTTCATAATTAAATAATTTAATATGCTAAAAATCTCTCTGACGAAAATTTTCACCAATATGCCATTTAAAAAATTAAAAAAATATATATATCCAACTACACTCTTTTGAAAAATTTTACTGAACTACACCTAACTAACTTTGTAGGTTCCAATTTGGATTCTGATATCGAATTTTGAATCTCAATTTGGTACTCTTTTACTATAAAGTTATCAGAATTTGCCTTATTTATAGGACTCGAATTTCTATTTTACTTGAATATATATATATATATATATAATATGATATACAAATTTTAATACAGATATAATAAAAGTAAATTAATATCGATATTTTAAATTATTAAATGAAAAATGTAAATTAATGATAAAAATTATTATATTAAAATTAATAAAATTTATTGAAAATACTTTAAATTCATTATTACTATTAAATAAAATTTATTAGTAAATGTGTGATTTATTATTAAAAACAAATGTATTACATTAAGTTAGACCATAGATTATTACTATTGTTACTTTTGAGAAATTGCAAACTTTAAAGATGTTGTTTATATGATATTCTCTAAAATATAATTTAATATGCTAAAAATCTCCATTTAAAATCTCTGACGAAATTTTTCACCAATATGCCATTTAAAAAAAATATATATCCAACTACACTCTTTCAAAAATTTTATTGAACTACACCTAACTTTGTCGATTCGAATATGGATTCTGAGATCGAATTTTAAATATCAATACTCTTTTACTAGAAAGTTATCAAAATTTACTAAGGCTCGAATTTCTATATTAATTGAAAATATATATATATATATATATATATATATATATATATAATTTAATACAGATATAATAAAAGTAAATTAATATGATATTTTAAATTATTAGATAGAAAATGTAAATTAATGTTAAAAATTAATATTATATTAAAACTATAAAATTTATCAAAAAAATTTAAAAATACTTTAAATTCATTGTTACTATTAATTAAAATTTATTAGTAAATGTGTGATTTATTATTAAAAACAAATGTATTACATTAAGTTAGATGATGGATTATTACTATTGTTTCCTTTTAGAAATTGCGAAGTTTAAAGATGTTGTTTATATAATATTATGTAAAATATAAGATGTTACTTTTGATAGAATATTATGTAAAATATAATTAATCTTTAACCTAAATATATGATAGTTAGAACAAATATTATTTAAGAATAATTATTTTCCTAAATACATGATAGTTAGAACAAATATTATTTAAGAATAATTATCTGCGGTAAAAATTTAATCTGTTTATTTAGGCTAATATTATAACCGTTAGTTTAATTTTAAAATTAATAATGTACTAAATTCATTGTTAAAAATTTAAAACATACTATAATGATAATTTTAATTTGCAAATATATTTGTATATTTAGTATCAAATTTATTAATGGTGAAAATTTTATTGTTATATTAGATTTATTGATTATTAGAGTGATAATTAATTATTAAATGATAATTTAAAAGTATTGTTATGTTTCAAAAATAATGTTTATGTCAAATTTATCGTGGTAAAATGTCAAATTTAAACATAAAATTAATAATTATACGAAAAACACGCATAACACAAAAACGTAAATATCATTAACATGAGAATGATAATGGAAAATAACATTAAAAATACAATTAATATTGACGAACTCAAATGATGATTAAATTCTAAATAAATCAAATAAAAAATATATATTTTATTTATTTATATATCTTTTTGCTTTTTTCATCATATGGTTAGACCAACCGCATTAACATAGTATATACTTCATTCACATTGATAAGATGATGAAAATGACGAGGACTATTAGGAAGAAAGATACTACAAATGTGTTCACAAAACCAATTCTTAAAAACAGGTTCATACTTTGCTTATATTTGATAAATGTCGATTATTAAGACTAATTGCACGTGAAAAGATTGTTGTCAAAGGTAGAGTTTATGGTATCTTGTGTACTAAACTCTGAAAGTAGATTATCAGGTGATAAAGTATCTAATAATATACAATTTGACAAGGTGCTAGATGACTTGGGTTTACAATCGTTTGTTTCATTAAATAATTAGTTTTGTTTCCAGGATAACTAACTATGTATTGTCATGTCCCTAATACATAGTGAATTATATGTATTTATTGGAAGACGTATTGAGTGATTTTTTTTTTTCAGGAAAAATCACATGTTTTTTGTGAATTTTCATATGTAAATGAAAAAAACATAAAAGAAACTTGTAAAGTTACATTAAAATTATGTGAAAAACAAAAATAGTTGATTCTTGCAAAAGAACACAATGAAATTAATACGTTTGTTTTTTCAAAAAAAAATCATCTTTTTCATTGACCTATGCTACCATTCAATCTCTATACACTGTTTCATTTTTTATACAAAAACCTATAAAATAAAAATATGATTATTAGAAAACAATGATGAATTTCTAATTGAAATTCATTAATTAAGTGAATTAAACTTGTGAAATTAATTCACAAATTTTATCTTAATTATAAAATCTTAAATTATCACACAACACACTCTAATTTTAATTTGAATTGAAAAATATATTTTGTTAGTCCAATCAACCTCGTTAAGCTAATTTGATTAAAAAAATAAATTGTTGAAGTATGGAACTAAAATCCTCAAACAAACAATTTGCTTCTAATAAATAAAAAGTGCACGAATATGTACAATAAAACGTGAAATAAGAAAAAGGTATGTGAAACAAAAATAATGAACACGAATATAAAAAAATATAACGATTTTGACATTATTTTAAAGTAACAAAGAAATGCTATATTAATAATTATATTTTATAAATAAATAATAAATGTTTTGTTATAATATAATGAAAGAAATAATTAAAATAAAAATACTAGAATAATTAATAAAATTAAAATAACCAATAGCCACACAAACTAATTTTGAAACCCAACCCACTGAACTCAACAATTTTAATTGAATTGAATAATAAATTTTAGCAAATCCCATCTAAACTGATATGTGATTGTTCCCAATAAGAAGATTATTTACTTTTGGATTTGTGGTGCCACTTACAACCTTATGAAGATTGTAGTCCATATGAAGATTTCTTTTTAAAGATTGGTTTCAAAGTTTTGGTGTGTTTTATCTGTTCGGCAGCAGAATCATCATCTCAACTACAACATCAATCTGGATTTTCTTTGAACCTAAATGGAGAATAGAATATCCTAAAATACATTTCATTTTGCCTCATCAGATACACCTCCCTTATCATCCCTATTTAGAGACGAAATTCCTTACTCAGGCAAACCGAATCATAAGTAAACCATTCATGTTTCATGTACATTATACTCCTGCTAGTTCTTAAATCAAAACAATCTCTATACAATAGTAATTTATCATGTAATTTATTAACATTTCAAAAATGCACGCACATAAACAAAGAAATCTATTGGAGAGTACAAAATTCCACAAATCCATTTACAGGGCAATGAAGGAATTAGCCCAAAATAAAATGAACTACCTTTGCTATCGCCCTAGCAGCTTTAAAAAGTTCCACAAAAACAAAAGTAGCATGCAAATCAGAGTAGGATAGCCTATCAATTCACTTTCATTGACTGAATTACACATAATAGTTATTGGCCTACAAATTTGATGAGTGTCTTACCCCAGAAAAGAACCCAACTTCTCCAAGAAAACAGTAGTTATTCTATTCAGTTCTCCTGTAAGAACCCTAAAAAGGGTTTTCAGCAGCTTCATGTTCATGGTCATTGTTCTTCTCATTGGCAGGCTTCTCTTGATTCAGCACACGCCCAGTTAGAGCATCGACAGGGCGAGTATCACGCAGTCCACCTTTACGCCCCATTGCCACCATAGGTGGTGGGGGCAGTACTCCAGCTCTGAATAGAAGCCGTTCCACAGGCTCTGAAGGCTGAGCTCCAACAGAAAGCCAATACCTAAAGAAGAACAAGAAAAAACAACAGTATCAGGAAAAAAAAATGACGAGCTTCCTCATTTATGTCTACAAGAAAAGTCCCTGGTGAATAATTTCTAACAGGAACATTCACAGGATATTCACACAACCAGAAAATTTTCTATTTCTTTTCTCAGAAACACCTAAATCAATTCTAAGTAGGACATGATGAGGTACAATTTCTTATAAACGGTTCTATAAGATTAAAAAAAAAATCTTCATAAACTAAATCAAGCTTATACAGAAGTTAAAAATATAATTTACAGAGGAATTTAACAATTTCGCTTATATTTCATTAAAATTTTAATTATTGAAATATGAATCACCTTCTTCAAACTGGCATAGCAAGAAAGAATCACTTACTTCACCCTTTCGAAGTTGAGACCCATTCTCTTGCCACCATCTTGACCTGAGAGGAAACAACAAAAGGATAACATCGAGGCACGAATCTAACTAATTATCTCTGGGCATTCGAAAAAACGTCATCTTTCGGAATGAATCAGAAAAAGAAAAATTAAAGAGAAAAAAAGGGGAATTGTGAGAACCTGGTAAGGGATTGTATTAACCGAGAACTTCAATGTGTTTGCCATCTCTGGGAGATCTGCTTTCAGCAGCCATGACCCGATAGAAGGGTTTGTTCTTGCATCCGAACCGCGAGAGCCGAATCCTCACCACCATTTTCAGAGCCAAAGCAATAATAGGGTTCTGGGTTTACCCGCAGAACACTGCTTACTTCTGCAACTGTGTTTAGTAGCTCAATCTCAACACTTTTTTTTTTCATTGAACGACGACGCATTGGGCTTGTGATGCTCAAGTTGTAGAACTTTTATCATTTTATTGGATAAAATAATATCTTTATTTAAAATCATCGAGTTAATGTAATACTGCTTATATTGAAAAGAGATGGAATACTAGTTAAAAATATGGTTTAGGTTAAATTTGTATAAATATAATATTTTATTAAGTTAAAATTGAAATTTAGTTTTCTTTAATTTTTATTTTTTAAATTTAATTTTGGTCCTTTTTTTTTCCATCATTTGAGTCTCTCTGTTTTAGATATGCAATTTCAATCTCATTTTGAATTTGAATACCTTCTAGGTTTAATTGTACATTGGATGGATATGCTAAGTTTAATATTTAATAGCACCAAATATACAAAATTAAGTTAGATTAAAATAATTGATCTTTTAAAATATGAAAGGTAAAAATAAACAAATAAAAAGTAAAGAATCAAAATCATGTATTGAAAGAGTGTGAAAAATAATTTATTTTATTTTTAAATGATATAACATATGAGTAGTATTTAAAAAACCGTGGTTAAAAACAACCAATAAAAAAACCAAAAGATACATTCACAAATAATACACAAGAAAAAAGTGTAATATATGTAAAAAAAGTATAATTCTATTTTCAACTCCATCACTCCGAAATCCTCTCTATTGAAAAAAGAGATCCAAAAATTCTTGAATCCTACTAATTCTATTTTTTTCTCACTCTCGAATCTGTCAAAATAAACTCATATACACAAATCATTACTTTCTTATCATTAAATATAATGTGTCACCTCAAACAAACACAACCTAATTATATATTAAGTGTATCACTCACTCCTAATATTTACTGTATCACTTCAATTTGCATCACATCATCATTCATCCATGCTTTATAAAGTCAATGCAACTTTTAATGGGAAGTCATTTAAATGCATGATATAGTTATGTTTGTATTTGTAATACAGGGGGTAGACAATTTTTTTAAAATATTTTCATAGATAAAAAAAAAAGAAAATATGAAATAAACATCTTTAAAAATTAATATTAATAAATGTATATAAATTAACAGGGCATTGCATTATTGAAAATCATTGGAAACCTTTTCCATGGTTAACGGAAAAACTTTTGCTTTTTTAGATTCAAATTCATTTGAAATGGTGGACTTAAATAGTTTGCTTGCACACTTCAACATTTTGAACTAACGTTATGATTGTCACAATTTAAATGTTTCAATACACGTGCTTCCCACATTTAGGTTGGGAAATGACGTTCTCTTACTATAACAATCAAGCATATACCAACTTTTTGTAATTACACTACTATAAAAATGGATACCCTATGCCAACAACTTTTTGATATTTATTTATTTATGTTAATTCCCACTTTGTATTTTTTAATTAAAAATAGTTTTTACTTATTTTATTAATTGTTTTTATTTATTTATTTATTTATTTATTTTTCTCTCAGTTTCCTAATATAAACATTTAAGTATATCCTGAGCACATTTTTTTAAGTTGAAATTATTGTCCATCTCTACATAAACTATACTATATCAACGTTAACTTTGTACGTGGATGAATATTTTTTTTAAAAGATATAAGTCAATTTGATAAAAAAAATTAAAATATTTTATAATAAAATATGTTATGTGATTACATCTACAAAACATATCGAATACATTTCTAAAATTATATTCATAAAATAAGTTTGATTTTTCATAAATATCCTCCATTATATTAAGTAAATACAAAATTAAATAATTAAATTATATTGTTGAAAGTCTCACCTCAACTAAAAATAAAATTTACAATACATAAGTTAATATAAATCTCACCTAACAAATATGTTTTGTAAGATTGAGTTAAGTTTAAAGTTTACTTCTTATAATGGTACGAGATTCATATCCTAATGAAGTTTGTTGCTTGTTTGGTTTGTTTTTGTTTTTAGGATTAAGTTAAGTTTGTTGTTTTGTCCAAACTATTTATTAATGTTTAGTCATACTTAATATTTATATTTCAACCCTATAATATAATAAATTATTGCAAATTCTACTTTACAAATTTTGTGGAAAAGAATTAGATTTATAGCCATTTTTTATTATATATTTTATACAAATTTGATTTCATGTTTCATAAGAATGAAGTGAGTGAAACAAGTTTTGATTTCTCCTCAATGAAATCAATAGCAGTTATATTAATTGTACATAATAATAATAACACAGACCCTTTTGGCCACTGTGATTTTCATTTGGCTCAACCTATGAATCTATGATGACAGTTGAAAAGTTATGCAGAGCAGGTGCAAATTAATAATCTGACACACACTGGTTTCATATCAGACAGAAAGAAGCAGCATGGTCACTCTGATATACATGTGAAGAAGTTGATGAACGAGAAGGAAGATACTTGTAATACAAATAGAGATACTTGCACCGGTTTATGTTCAACCACTTTTCAACCAAGTTCATAAATTATACTTTAATATTATCATAACGTACATGTGGAGCGACTCAGAACACACATAAATGTGTTCCTGAAAGAACAAATCACTGGAGTGACATATTCTTCAAGTTCTTTTATTGTTTGCGTGATATTTTATGATTATTATGCTAGAAAAAACAAAAAATCAACTTTATATTAAAAATTATATGAAGTTTGATTTTAATAGAACTTACCAAATGTGATCCCTTTATAACAGAGATTGAATTCATATTATAAAAAATCTATACACCGTCGAGATATTTAAATTAAATTCCAGGGAAAACAAAATACTTTATCAAAGAAAGTGAAAATTTTGAAATTTAAATTAGGAAAGTTAATTTACTTTAACTTTCTATGCAGTCAAGCAAAACAAAATACATAAAATAAAGAACATGTAGAACATCGTCATCCACATTTTTTTTTTCTATTTTATTTCCTTTTAATAAAAGTATATGAAAGAACAAAGATAATGTGTTATTTCTGATAATACCATCGTACATTTTGACGTTCATTTGATATAAATTATAATGATAAAAAAAATGTAAATTTTTGTATTGTTTTAAAAAAGAAAAAGTTAAAAAGTAACTGAATAAACTCTAAAATATTTAAGAGTGTAAAACCATCTTTAGTCTTATCTTACTTAATAATGGACAAAAAAATATACTGAAATGTAGAACATGTAGAAGTAAAAGAACAACCTTATAAATGTAAACATCCACAAGCATGTAATTTGAATCTGGCAAGGAGACTAAAGTACAGTTTCACAACATCTTTCTCTCAGTCTCACTTTGTACTAAGTTTCTGTTTCCAATGGCTACATCGGTAAAGAACAACTTCCTGAACCATGCACTGGCTTCCAATCTCCAGCAAGCACTGATCCGCATGAAGGACAGTGTGCAGGAACAGCACCAGAGCAAAGCCAAGGAACCAACCAAAGCTTCTTCAAAACCTGCGGTACTAGTCACCAATGGTGAAGGCATAGACTCTCCTGGTCTAACATTCCTCGTGGAGGCACTCCTCCGTGATGCTGTTCTTGATGTTCATGTCTGTGCCCCACAATCGTAAGTTTCCTCAAGACATGATTTTTCGTGAGTTTAAGTTGTTCCAATGTGTGTATCATGGCAAAACTTCAACTGGGGTGAGCTGATTTAACCCTTAAGAATCTTTACAATGGGATTTTGATGATCCAGGGATAGATCTCTGTGTGGTCACTCGGTTACCACTGGGGAGACACTAGCTGTGTGTTCAACACAAGTTGGTGGTGCCAATGCCTTTGAAGTGTCAGGAACCCCAGCAGACTGTGTCTCTTTGGCTTTGTCCGGGGCATTGTTTTCTTGGTCAAAACCTGTTTTGGTAGGTTCTGGTGCTGTGCACAAAATCTATCATCAGCTATCAAATACATATATACAGTGTTCACACCACCATTTTAATTTCATTACTCTGAAACCAGGTAATTAGTGGAGTAAACAAAGGAGCAACCTGTGGTTATGACACGTAAGTGTGTGATCAGTTCTTCTTTTGGTATCTTACAATTCAATTTGGAAAAGCAATCGACTCGTTTTCAGAGATATACAACTTTATTTTGCTTTTCTAATTCTGCTTTCAAACTTTGGCATTTTCATTTGGTGTTTTTTTACTGATGTAGTTTGTACTCTGGGGCTGTTGCTGGAGCTAGAGAGGCTATGATTTGTGGTGTGCCTTCTCTTTGTATATCATTGAACTGGTATGTGTCATGCATTCTTATTTTTTCTATTCTCCTTTTGTCCCTCCTATGATCTTGTGAACTATGCTGTCCAATGTTTTGCAGGGAAAAGAATGTGAGTTGTGAAAGTGATTTGAAGGATGCAGTTACTGTATGCTTACCATTAATTCACGCAGCCATAAGTGATATTCAGAAAGGGATTTTCCCCAAGAATTGCTTCCTCAATATAGGGATCCCAAGCTGTCCTCTGACAAATAAGGTTTGCTCTCCTGATCATCATATTTTCATATTCTAAAGTTTGCCAAAAATTGGCTGCATAACCGTAATCATAAATTTATGTAAGCAACATCCTTATTGTTTGATGTAAGCCAAGTTTGGATGTCTTTAGCACAAATACTTTTGAGAGGAATAAAAATGAGGTAGTACATTACAATTTTCGTCCAAGTTAAAATCAATTCATGTTCTTCAACTTTTAGAGAGGTAAACTGGTATAGATTGTTTTTAACTTAACAGAGACGTTTGATTCATTTGAGTAATTTATTTCCTTTTCTGGAAGTGTTTGATGTAAAGTTTATCTAAACTGAATCTTATCACATTTAGTTAGACACTGTGTTTTCCAATACATTTTGTGAATAGGGTGTGAAAGTGACAAGGCAAAGTCCAAACAGAGCTTCTTTAAATTGGCAAGCGGTGTCAACAAATAGGAACCCTTCTGCAGGCCATTACATGTCAAACCAGCAAAGTCTTGGAATCATGTTAGCAAAACTAGGACGAGATGCCTCTGCTGCTGTAAGAATATCTCATCTTTCAACAGCTAGTTTTCTTCTTCACAGGGACATTCTTTCATTCTCTCATTTTTTTATGGAACTTGCTTTGTAAACAACACTTCAGGCAGCAGCACGCCGGCTAAACTCAAACCGCAAGAACGTGGAGATTGAATCAATTGGTGTTGCTGGGAAATTCAGTTCTCAACAAAGCATAAAGAAATACTTCAGAATGGAGGTACCATTAACATCATTTTCCAAGAAAACAAACATGTTCTAACATGATTCTAGTTTGAATTTGGTACGATGAGGATTGATAATGGCACACGTTTGAAAATATTTTCTTTCTTCTTCATGTTGATGCTTCTTTTCATTTGCATTCATGGCTTGAGTTCTCATTTGCAGTTAACTGAAAAAAGGCAGGAGAATAAAGAGGATGATTTAGACTCTAGAGCACTTGAAGAGGGATATGTGAGTGATAATTTTGTGTTTTGGATGATGAATTGGTGGGAACTAAGCATTATTCTACATTATTATATGCTAATTTGTTCCATGTTTCGATTTGGAATGACAAACAGGTTACTGTCACCCCTTTGTCTGTATATGAATATGGTGACATGGAAATTCAATCATCAGTCTCCAGTTGGTTAGCTACTGGAGTCAGTGGAGATCAATGAGCAATTTGCATTGTAATTGTGGCAATTTGAAAGTGAGAGAGTAATGCTTGGCAAGTTTGATATTATGCGATCTTAGAAAGTATATCATGTGTCATTGGCCAGATTCTGTTCCATTAACTTAATCTATATATTCCTAGTCCACAATTCAGTTTCCCAATGATCAAATTTTGACCTATTTTTGCAATTTTTAAAAAAAGGGGGACTTTAAAAATAAAGAAAATTATTATTTTATAATAGAAAGTATAATTATAATTTTAGGCTTATAAAAAATGAAATTTAGTATTTTTAATAAAATAAATATTATGTTGGGTTATGTAAATAAATGTGACATATTCATGGTTATTAATTTAACAATTTTTTCAATTATCATTGATAATAACGTTTTTGGTGTTGAAAAATATTTGAAAGGAATTTTTGAAGTACTCACGTATTTTATTTTTTATCCNTTATGGAACTTGCTTTGTAAACAACACTTCAGGCAGCAGCACGCCGGCTAAACTCAAACCGCAAGAACGTGGAGATTGAATCAATTGGTGTTGCTGGGAAATTCAGTTCTCAACAAAGCATAAAGAAATACTTCAGAATGGAGGTACCATTAACATCATTTTCCAAGAAAACAAACATGTTCTAACATGATTCTAGTTTGAATTTGGTACGATGAGGATTGATAATGGCACACGTTTGAAAATATTTTCTTTCTTCTTCATGTTGATGCTTCTTTTCATTTGCATTCATGGCTTGAGTTCTCATTTGCAGTTAACTGAAAAAAGGCAGGAGAATAAAGAGGATGATTTAGACTCTAGAGCACTTGAAGAGGGATATGTGAGTGATAATTTTGTGTTTTGGATGATGAATTGGTGGGAACTAAGCATTATTCTACATTATTATATGCTAATTTGTTCCATGTTTCGATTTGGAATGACAAACAGGTTACTGTCACCCCTTTGTCTGTATATGAATATGGTGACATGGAAATTCAATCATCAGTCTCCAGTTGGTTAGCTACTGGAGTCAGTGGAGATCAATGAGCAATTTGCATTGTAATTGTGGCAATTTGAAAGTGAGAGAGTAATGCTTGGCAAGTTTGATATTATGCGATCTTAGAAAGTATATCATGTGTCATTGGCCAGATTCTGTTCCATTAACTTAATCTATATATTCCTAGTCCACAATTCAGTTTCCCAATGATCAAATTTTGACCTATTTTTGCAATTTTTAAAAAAAGGGGGACTTTAAAAATAAAGAAAATTATTATTTTATAATAGAAAGTATAATTATAATTTTAGGCTTATAAAAAATGAAATTTAGTATTTTTAATAAAATAAATATTATGTTGGGTTATGTAAATAAATGTGACATATTCATGGTTATTAATTTAACAATTTTTTCAATTATCATTGATAATAACGTTTTTGGTGTTGAAAAATATTTGAAAGGAATTTTTGAAGTACTCACGTATTTTATTTTTTATCCAATACACTTTTGGGTCAAATATTTAATTTTATTAATTGTTTTTAAACTCCTTGATGATTAAATATTTGATGACATGTATTAATTAAAAGAAAAAGGCTTAAATGCTTATTTCATTCTCATGTTAAGGAGTTAACAGAAATTCATCTGTTAAGCCTTTAAAACCTTTAATGATTCCTTTGAGATTAATTGTATATTAACATTAATTGTTTAAATAACACGTATGACAAATAATGATAATTAAATAGTACATACTTGAGGATAATGATACTTTTTGATAACCATTTTTTGACAACATTTTAACACCATGTACGTGTCATTATATGATTGGTCTATGTTAGTGTTTATGATTATTATTATTGATGGTGGAATAATTTTGGACCAATCACAGAATGATACCTAGATGATGTTAAAATGTTGTCAAAAAAATGTTGTCAAAGTATCATTATCTCATACTTAATTATATTGAAGAAAGTTCAAACAAAACTAACATACTTAAACTTAGACCGGTCAAATAAGCCCCCATCATAAGGATTGGCCTTAGCTCGCATGGGTTGGGGCCAAAAAAGCCCACAGGACCAAAAAAACATTTTATTAAAAAGCCCACGGAGCTAAATATCCCCAAAGCCTTATGGGTTAGGGCTAGCCCATGGGTCTTTCCTTTTACCAAATTTTAAAAAAGAAACACATCACCTTAATCATTGTTCCATTTACTTTTTATGCCTCATTAAATGTGATGTATAGATATTGATTGTTGAATTAACAGTTTATTACTAAAATAATATACAACACTTTCTTTTAAATATTTAATAAAAAAATCATATGTTGCTCATTTATCAATTTTGTGATTTAAAAGAACGAGAGTAAAGAAAAAGAAAAGGAAGATAAATGTTTGATTGGATGAATTGTCGAAAAAAATAAGACCAAACATTTAATAAAGCTTGTGACTTGAAGGATATATATCTCTATCTATCACTATCTCAATCAAAAATCAAAAATATATATGTGTTTGAGTTTTCTTTTTTTTGAAAAAAAAATTAAAAAGATCATTATTATCATAATTATAAAAATGAATATAAATAATTTTTTGTTATAAATAATTACTTTAGCTTATCAAAATAGTAAGTTTTAGAAATAATTAAATAAATAACAACATTATATTTACAAAATATTACCAACATAATGAAATTAATAAGATAATTATTTTAATTAAAATATATATTTAATAAGATAATAACGTTTAAGCTAATTTTAATTTATGAAAAACAAGTGTTTTTACTTCTCTATTTTATAGGTATATATATA